GAAGCATCCATCCAGGAGGAAGCATCCATCCAGGAGGAAACATTCATCCAGGAGGAAGCATTCATCCAGGAGGAAACGTCCATCCAGGAGGAAGCATCCATCCAGGAGGAAGCATCCATCCAGGAGGAAACATTCATCCAGGAGGAAACATCCATCCAGGAGGAAACATTCATCCAGGAGGAAGCATCCATCCAGGAGGAAACGTCCATCCAGGAGGAAGCATCCATCCATGGATGAGGAACTGAGCCGTGGTTTGAAGTGAAAACTATGAAGACGGAAGGGTTTGCTCTGAGGGGCGGCACCCCCCCGCACATCAAGAGGAGAACTGAAGAAGAGAAGGTCCTGAGGGGTCAGAGTTCAAACCATCTCCTGAGGGATTGGAGGTTCTCCTGGGACCAGACCTGCTCCACTCAGCAGGGGGAGGATGGACGCATTGATGGAGCTACACCAGAAGAACAGGTTGGAGAGGCTGAGAGACTAAAACCTGTGGCTGAGGTTCACCTTCCACCACCATGGACTCCCAGGAGACATGGTCCATCCAGCTGGACAGCCTGTCGCCACTAGAAGGTCCAAACTGTGGATTTTAACTTTATAAAATCTGTTTCTTTTTCCTTCTGGTTCAAAGTTTTATGTTTTCCAGAACTTCTCACGGTTTGTGTCGTTGCTGCGGCTAAATGTTAAACATCTCATGGAGAAGAATGAACCAAAGATCTGCTGGTGGCGCCCAGGACCAGACGTCCCACCTGGTCCCTCTGGAAGTGCGTCTGACACTCACCACTCCTGCAGCTCGGGGGACGGGATGAGGCCCGCCGTGCCCATCTTGGTGTTCTCCAGCCGTCCCTGCCACCAGTTATGGTCGTCCTTGGAGATGATCTGGATGATGTCGCCAACAAGGAAGCGGATGCCGGCCTCCTTGCAGGGGATGAGCTCGTCTTTGGACGGGTCGTACTCGAACTGGGCCCTGACGTAGATCTGGGGTCAGAGATCAGGAGCTGCAACAACTCAGGAACATGATGGAGGTCTCCTATGTGGCCCCCAGAAGCCCCATCTCTGGGGTCTCACTAAGTTAACCATGAAACAATCTCTACCAGCTGCCATCACTGTTCTTTCTATTCTATTCTATTCTATTCTATTCTATTCTATTCTATTCTATTCTATTCTATTCTATTCTATTCTATTTCTATGTTCTATTCAGATCTTCTCTATCAGGAATGATCTGCCTGCAGCATCAGCCTCCAGTAGACAGAGGCTGAAACCTGCTGGAGCCAAAGAAGCCCTGACCCTGTCAGAGCTTGAGTTCAGTAACCCCCCCCCCCCAACACACACACACACAGATCCCCATAGAGCTTCTTAAAGGTGATGGACTTCAGTAGAAAGGATCATGGGTAGAGTGGAGGAACAGGAGGTTTACCTGTCGGCCTTTGGGCTGGATGGACGAGGACAGGTCCTGTGGAGAAGGAGCATGAATCACAGAGATGATCAACTGATAACAGCAAGAACAACAAGGACA